AGTGATGAATGGTTGCTACACCAGGAACTTTTATATTTCTGCCAAATCTGATAAGTCAGAACACAATCACATTAATCACAAACATTAACTTTGACAGTCTTACATCTGACCAATCAAAACCTTGAAGTGCAAGGTAAGCTTGCAGGTTTCTGCTGATGTATCTACAGGTCAAAGGCAACACTAGCTCAAAATAACCTTAATCTTTAGAGACTGAGAAGAAAAAAAAGTGCTATACTTTCAGTTCTCTCTTTCAGCTCATCACTTTTTCAGACTTTCAGGACAGTGACACTTAGGTTACATGGATCAATAACACTTCCAGTATCGACCATTAACAATCACACGTCAAATACACATTTATGTTGATAGTTGTATGACCTTAAAGGATTTGGATTTAAGCAGACTTATTTATCTAGTATATTGATATTGCAAATGTCTTTCGTGGTAAAAACACATCGGAAAGCAAATGGCACTTACTTGCACTGTGCATGGTAATACTTGATCAAGTTCTGAAGGAGGTCAACCCCTTTTTTTGTCTTTATTTCATTCACTTTGATTAGGTACTGCAAAAAGAGACAGACTTTGGTCACAACACAGTTTAGTATCCCAACAGTAGAACAAAAGATATTCAGTGATTGTGAAACCTTAAGTGCTATATTATTTGAAATGGATTATTCAAAATTATTCTAGGGAAAATTACAGGTCCATTCCATAGCACATATTTAAATGTAGCCTAAATATTAAATTAAACCATTAACTGTTGTTAATTTAGAGGCAACTACAGAGGACAAAAATGTCATCTTTTAAATCTGAAAAGAACACGCAGTGACAAACCAAGCCCACAAAACAAATGAATTAAACATCATTGTAATCCTGATTTAGCCCAGAAAGGTATATTCCAGAACACCTTTCAAAGTCACGCCAGTTTTTGGCTATGCTCAGAAACATAATCTGTCCTTTTGATCCCTGGCATGTCTGAATATATCTTGGGGTGAAATGGCACACATTCTGCTCATCTTAGAGTGTGTGAATATATTTGTGCATAATCTTTAAACCCATAACCACAATTTTGTCAACAATGTTAGACACACAAGAGTATATAGTTTCCTAATTAAGTTAGGGTGCGTGCACATCTTTGTTTTCATAATGCATACAGTAGGTATGTGGTATGTGTTCACTAGAGTTTGTCATTTCCTTCGATACTTCATGTATCTGAATGAGTCACCTCACTGCATAATAAATTATTCATTGCTCTCATCTTTAGATTTTACTTAAATTAGATGTCTTGTTGAGTAAAAATAAACTTACTTGTGTAACCACCAAGAAAGCTTTCCTTTAGTCTTTCCTTTAGTCTTCTGACTATTTAATACTTTAGTCTAGACAATCCAGACTTTCAGTAATATACCACTGCCTCCTCTACATTAGTGCTTAATTAAATGAAAAAATTAGAATTTAATTTAAATATTAGATTTTATCAAGTGACTTGGTCCAATACCATCTGAAAGGCAACCTGAGGTTTCTTTTTTCCTAAGATACCTAACATTACATCTACCCCTCGCAGTCGCAAACCCTTGATGGAGAATGAAATAAATTCAAAATGCAATTCCTATTGACAAACACAATTCATCAACATGTTAAATAACCCACAGCTATCCTCCCTAATGAATAAATACAACACTGATGATTATGAAACATCACAATTTGAGCCATCTGCTCTAATGCTAAGGGAATCTTTCGAGACATAAGATAAAAAGGCCATTAGCACTGAGCTGACAGCATTACATAATTCAGATTTATATTAGAAGTACCAATCACAACAGCTGATGATGTGACAGCAACCTGGGGTAATTGGTGTAGATCCATTAAAGGGCTCTGATTGGCTGCTGTTTATTAAATGTTAATGTCATTAGCAAAACCGTTTGATAAAGTCACAAGTAAACCCATGCTGATGAACGAATGAATGATTACTCACTGACCATTACAAAAAAGACTGTAATGATAATGTACAGATCTCTCAGCTGTCCAAACAACAAAGTTTTTTGGGTAGTGGGAGCATTAGTAGAAAAAAAATCCCTGACCATGTACATACTGTATATAAAATTCTCAGAATAATCTCCATATTCTGGTCAAGCCTTTAACCTAGAAAAGGTATTTAAATGTCCCACAGCTACTGAAATATTCCAATATACATGTAATCAGCACAATATGAATAAACTAAAACATTCTTTTCTTGCTATTCTCTTCTGAAAATACTAAAGATGCCGTATTTTAGTAATATTGGATGGGTCTTAAATCAGCTTAATTCTCATTCATGTCCTGTACAGCAACACGCAAGTGTGCAATGGCCATATACTGTGATGTGTCCAGAATTGTGTTTGATGATTTTTTTTCACAACTGTCTGTATCTAACAGCACTCAAAATGACCTGTTTATGTAGATATAAATTAATATTATGTTAAAAACGGTTTATTCTAAATAATTTAATTAATTTAGAAAAACAAAAACCAAATAAAGAAGAAAAAAAAACAATATCAACTATGACATATTACAGGTTCTCCAACCAGCTCAAGTGCACTGCAGACCTCACACATCTGTAGTTGAAAAAGCCTCCGTTCTTTCTCCATCTCCTCAGCGATCTCAGCACCAGTGATCTCTGTTCGAATCATTCCGTGCTGCTTGGCATGCTCACGTTTTTCCTTCTCGATCTTTGTACTGTAAGATTGCAAGAAATGTGACCATAAAAAGCAATAAAAATATTTGTATAACTAGAACAAGCTCATCTGAGCTGGCAAACAGATTGTCGTGTTTATTTTGCATTAATCTCACATCTGTGGAGGAGAAAATGATTTTGCTCATGCTTTTTGATGGCGCTTTTAGATTACTGTAAAATGCATCTGATAATTGCAAAAGCCGACAGACAGAAAATAATCTGTATGAATAGACAAATGTGTATACAGACACACTCAGCTAACATGCATAAAGCAAACGTACAACTTGGTTTCGTAGTCCTTCCACGCCTTGTCAAAGGGTTTTTTCAGGTCCTGGAAAAAAATGGAAAAATAGTAACGAGTCAGGTGAAAGTAATTAGACTCCCTCATGTTTACAACAAAGCAGATGTCACACCCAAAATCCAATGACAAAGACAGAGCTAACACATCTGCATCATTGTGGAGGGAAGATATTTTTCCAGCAGTAAAGTAAACAGCACATTTAGGACTGTAACATCCTCATAACATCATTATTGTGATGAATATCTGGAGCACCATGACCATTACTTGTGGTAAATGACAGATCCATTAGTGGGCTCTGATTGACTCCTGGTGTGGTAGTCAGACTGCTGATCTTCTGATAAGCAGGACATTACAAATAGCCGCACTTGACCGCGCTCAGTTTCAGTGCATTACATTAAAACGGCAGTGGGCTAGTTTAGTTTGTGATGTCATGAAGCCATTTACTTGAATAGAGCTTTACACACAAAGGCACTTCCAAGTACTTCAACGGGTCTACAACATCTTCTTTTTAGATATTGTTTATGTTTCTGGCTTGGTATGAAAGCACAATTGTAGAGAAACGTGTGCATGCATCTGCATGTGTATTTAGGCTCTGCGTGTCTGATGGTCTATGAGAAGGTCTGTAAATATTTCTCACCCCCTTCACGCCTTTCAGGTCGCCTTTCAACAGGGAGTCCAGTGTGAAGATCACATTATGACTCAGACTCTGGAGCTGCAGGAAAAGATGGTGAAACAGAGCAGAGACTGTTTTAATACGATACATGACACTTGGCACAACATAAGCACAGCACAGAAGAAATAAGAGAAAACATATCAAATACAGCCATCTGCACAAAGAGCCCGTTGAGAGAGACACAATTGCATTAGGATGAGTAGACCTGCATTGTCACCCGATACTCCGGGACAGATCTTTTAAATTAATCAACATTAATGTTTCAGACCCAAGAGGCCAGATAGTTTGGACTCAAGTAACAAGATGAGACCAACTGTGAGACAGCATTGTCTCATAAGACCTTAAGAGAAATTTACGTCACCTGAAAAAAAAACAAAAAA